CTAGCAGTAGGCCAACGGGAACATACTGAGCAAAAAGCCAGTGGGCTGTCAGCTGTGCCGTCAGTGGGCCAACAGTGGCCTGCAGTCCTCTTGCTATCTGGGTCACGATGTTTGTAATCGATGTCTCAAGGAACCTGAACTGGTGTAAGAGAAATGCTAGTCAGAGCATCCAAGTTATAGCCTACACCAATTACTTATGCTAGAAAAAGGCATTTTATTTCAAGCTTTTAATTTCACACTTCACAAGTACAGGTATGAAACCACGAAGCGAAGCCATTTTTAACCAATGCTAAGATTACACTGCTCGTAGAATATGTTAGCGCCAAGCTAGCAGGGTTAGCACTGCGTTATGTTGTATTTTGGCGTCAGTTCTGGTTTAAATAAAGGTATTTTGAGCTCATAACAGCCATGTGAATAACATATTCTTTATTTGTTATGTCTCAGTATTTAAGCAAGTCTTTCTGTGAAGGCTTAAACCCAAAATCTGTCTTTTATTAGTGTAGTGTTAGCCTGTTAGCTAGCTGGTTAGTTTTCTGCTAACCTGCAGCCTCAACTAATGAGGGTAAAATAAAAATACCATATTTAAGTTTGTTAACTTAAGTGTTAACTTATTTACACAAAGAAAATCAACAAAACACGTCATTTGACTTGTGGTGGTAAAACATTTGCACACACCAAAGCCTGTAGTGTCCAAGTGAAGCATACAAACTGATGTCTTTTACATCTGATTTCAAGTCTATCACAGCAAAACTCGTGCTGGGACTTTAAGGCCTAATCCCATTTCACCCCTTGCCCCTTCCACTTAGCCCTTAGCCCTCTGTTTTGCGTGTTCACATCTAGGGTTAGGGTGTCCCAATTTTTGTTGAGAAAGAGGGGTAGGGCAAAGTGTTAGGGCTACACGCCCCTCCAAATGGAGTTTTTTCAGAGGCTCAATGCAGTTTTTTAATTTTTTTATTTGAGGGTCCCATTTCGTAGGGCAAGGTTTCAACCACTACCCCTTGTAACTCAGTTCCAAGGGGTTAGGCTGACACTCTAAAACAAGGGAGTAGGGGTAAAAAGAAGAAATGGGACTGGGCCTAAATAACAGATCCTGGCAAATCTGAGAGATTTGTACTTTCACAATCAGGACAGCAGTGCCACCATGTGGCAAAGACTGTGAACTGCAGTTAGAACAAGCCACAACGTGCTCATGTTTTCCAGTTGTGTATACTGTTCACATTTTTTGTGTCACTGTGTTTTATCAGTGAGGAGTAACTGGCATGTTTTCGGCACCAATACTTAACATTGCCGTATTTTCCTATGTATGTCTATATGTGATTTTATTCAGTTTTTCAAATCAATCAAAATGTATTTATCATATTAATTTATCATATAATTTCAGTCTTTTTGTCTCATTACTTTTTTTAAAGTAAACAAAATAAAATCGATATGAAGTTCAAATATGATTGTAAAGTACTCAAAATACAAAATACAAACCTTCATCACTTTAGATCAATCAGAACAAGTTTTGTGGCATTTTTCCTTATCATACTAAGTTTAGCTTTTGAACTAGTCTAAACTGGCGTACTGAGCATATCAGTTACTGAGAGTGTTATCTTGAGGACAGATTAAAAGGTATAACAAAAAATATAATGAACCAATGTAAAGCAGCAATAGAAGTAACAACATGATTTGAAAATCCAAATCGAGAAAGCACAACCTTGCACTCAGGGCTCTGTCTTCATGTGGTCAGCTGAATCTGACCACTTGAGGTCAAGTGAACATGATTAAATGATATGGCTGATATATAAGTGGTCTGTTTATACAACACAGTCTCTCTCTCTCTTCTTGCTAATGATGATAGAGGAGCAATTAAACTGCACAACTTCAGGAAATACAGCAGATGTTACTAACAAAGAGGACTAAGTCATGCCATTATAACATGTTTATTACACTGAATGCCTGGGTGCTTATGCTTAACATTGAGTAACAGATTCGACTGAGCTGCTGTAATAACGTTTTAAATGAACTTATATAATAATGTCATAATTATCTATTTAATTATCCATTACAAAAATACAAATAATACCAAAATCATAAATAATAAATATATCAGAGAGCAAATGATAAATTACCTTCCTCTCCAAAAACTAAAAATGGGGTAACCTGTAGGTTCACTCAGGATCAGCCCACTGAAAACCATTAAAACTATCATAGTAATTTACCCAAAGCCAGATGATCATGATGGTTACACAGGATGGAACCCAGAGGTCAGCAACATGTGGCTCTTTCACTGCCCCCTTGTGGCTCCACAGCAGAGTGATAATTTAGGGTGAAATGAAATAACCCTCTGCGGTGATCATTTGTGCTAAAATAATGTTTTGCAGTAGAACAATGTTTGGCTAAGCACTCAACCAGCTACCAGTTTAATAATGAAGTGCAACAGCAAGTTCAGAACTCACTACAGCAAATGTAGAAACGCAACAGCAAATTCACAAACGCAACTGCAGAACACAACGGCTACAGAGGAAAGTTTGTAAACGAACTTTAAGATAGCTTGACAAAGCTGTTGCTATGGAATCCCGCATGTTTGCTAAGGTTTTGCTAAGCTGTTGTTATGGTATTCCAGGTGGTTGCTATGGTTCTACTAAGCCTTTGCTATGTTATGCCAGGTGGTTGCTAAGGTCTTTCTAGACCATTGCTATGGAATCCCAGGCAGTTGCTAAAATGTTGCTGGGCCATTGCTATGGAATTCCAGGCGTTTGCTAAGGTGTTGCTAGGCCATTGCTATGGAATCCCAGGTGGTTGCTAAGGTGTTCCTAGACCTTCGCTATGGAATCCCAGGCAGTTGCTAAAATGTTGCTGGGCCATTGCTATGGAATTCCAGGCGTTTGCTAAGGTGTTGCTAGGCCATTGCTATGGAATCCCAGGTGGTTCCTAAGGTAATCCTAGACCTTCGCTATGGAATCCCAGGCAGTTGCTAAGGTGTTTTTAGACCACTGCTATGGAATCCCAGGTGGTTGCTAAGGTGTTTTAAGACCATTGCTATGGAATCCCAGGTGGTTGCTAAGGTGTTTCAAGACCATTGCTGTGGAATCCCAGGCAGTTGCTAAGGTGTTTTTAGACCACTGCTATGGAATCCCAGGTGGTTGCTAAGGTGTTTCAAGACCATTGCTATGGAATCCCAGGTGGTTCCTAAGGTGTTTCTATAGACCATTGCTATGGAATCCCAGGCAGTTGCTAAAGTGTTGCTAGGCCATCACTATGGTATCCCAAATGTTTGTTAAGATGTTAAGAGGTTCTGACTAGAATCCGTATGTAATGTCTATGTGTCCTTTGTGACATCATTTGTGGTAGTTAGATTGGAATATTCTCAACAGTCTGTGTTCATTTCCTATGAGAAAAAAAATGGCGTTTGAGCGAACGCTGTATGAGAGCTGTATGTGCGATCTGTCCCAAAAGCACAAGCACACTACTGCTGTATAGGCTCTACGATCCTACAAACTATAGTGGCTCTGTGACTCTATGACCTGTAAAAAGGGTACAAGAGGCATCTTAACTTTGTTAACCCAAAACGGAAGAATCTCTTTTTAGCATGGTAATGGAAGATGTATCACTAGCCTCATTGCTGGAAGTCAGGGCTGACTGTGTCTGACTGTGGTATTTTGTAATGAGATAACAAGCCATAACAGATCCAGCAAAGGCAGTAAAACATGTTTTTGAAACACTTTTTAAAATCTCATTTTAAAGCCAAAGTAACGTAACCAATGTATTTGAATGTATTGACTTGATTTCATTTGATTTGTTGCTGTAGTGACAAGTGAGAGTTAAACAGCTGAGATTTCCCGCTACATTATTATTTTCACGTCCTAAACTGTATACTAGCACACTAAATAGTGTGCAAAAAAGTAGAAGATACACTATTAGAAATGCACTCATTAGTGTAGTAGGTGAAGTACAGAAGTGTGTGGTTTTGGGACGCAGCATTAGATCAGCCAGTGAGGTGCGTTCCAACAGCTCCAATGCCTGACTGTAGCTTCACTGTGTTGCTCGTTAGCTGCTCAGTTCTATTTTGGTGCTAAATAGAACCCTTTTCAAAAAGGTTCTATACAGAACCATTTACAACACATTCTCCACCAGTCTGAAAAACCCATTCACAATGCAAAGAACCATTTAATCATGCAAAGGATTCTTTGAGTGTTCATGGTTCTATATAAAACCATTTTTTGCTAAAGAACCCTTGAAGAATTATCGTTTTAAAGTGTGTACGGTGTGTCTGTGTTGTGAGTTCTCTAAATGGCCCTGTCTTTGGCCATCTTGTACGTAATGATACCAAATTGTGTTCAGGACAGAAGTGATTCCAGTTCTCATCCACATACTGTTATAACCCTACTAAAATTAATTAACCCCACCACCATTAAGTGTTTCTGTTGGTTTCTGACAGTTTTTTTTAAAGTGTTTTGGCTTTTTTAATGGGCTGATATCACAGTGTAAAGGATGCTGGTGACTGATGGCAGATTCTAAATGCATTTGATGGATTCCTAATAGGATCTAAAGGTGTTCTACAGGCAACTAGTGGTCTCTCATGGTAGCCATTGAGCCAATTCCCCTTAAAAACCTTCAAGTTTTAATGCTAATGTCAGCTTGTCTGTGTGAGCTGAATTAACCACCTGGTTGTGGTTTGAGTGAGTTGATGGGAAGTTTAGGGGCACGTATCTACTGAAACGATTAGGGTGATTATTGACTTCTAGTGTTTGTTAGCATGTTAGCCTAGCAACTCCAGTTCTTAACTAAAGTAGCAAAACCTGGACACCAAACTTGTCTTGGCTGATTGACTGCATAAAAGGTAAGAGGAAATGCATGTAAATCACCAAACTGTAATGCATGTAAATCACCAAACTGTTTTTTAAGCAGTTGAGAAAAACTGCACACAGACAATGAACACATGCTAATTTCATAGAAACATTTGACAAAGTCAAGTGCCCTCAAAGGTTTGAATGGCACTACAATTCAATCAGAAATCAATGGGATTTTTTAGTGGTGCTGATTTTATTGGAAAAAGAGAAAAACAATTTCATACATCAACACTGACCAGACGTAACTCGGTGACACAAAACAGAGTTCAGCAAGTTCAGTCTAAGGCTAAGCCTCATTCTCACAGGCTGTGTAATGCACAGGAGCATTTTCAGTGCGGACTGGAACCAGGCCAGACTCGAGCGTGGATTTTTTGCTAGAGAGGAATGCTCTCCAGATTTTACACTACGTACACTTTGCAAAACACTTGTGGTAACTTTTTCAACTTCAAACATTAAAGATATTTCACGAACCCACAAATATTTCACAAGCAGAGCATTTGGCACGCAGTGTCGGTAACTCGGCAAGGCCATACAAAAACAAAAAGCAAAAACCCTGAGAGGAATGCTAGTAATGGATGCAAGGCCAACCCCTTGGACATCATACTTAATATAAGCATGCTATTCTTCTCTTAACCTGCCTGTAACACTCTGGTAAACTTTACGAAAGTTTAATGAAGACTTTCTTCCATGTTGCACTACTTTTTTTGAATAAAACACGTAATAGTGTACCACTGCAAACGTATACATTTACTGGCCACTTTATTGGAATCACCTACCTTATAGGTCCACTGTATAGGTGTACAATTAAAGACTATACCCATTCATTGACCCCCCTCTACCCCATTCATTATTGGTCAGCTTCTGACCACAGGATCACTGTCGACGAGATATTATTTGGAAACTGACCACTGATGAAGAGCTAGAGGATGGATAAAGTAAATTGTGCATCAGCGGATGGGCTACAGTGCCTAATCGTACAACCAGTATGGTGAAGCTACAGTTAGTGTTGGGAATGATGCAGTACAAAGTAAGGCATTATGGTACCACGTTACAATGGTAATGCAATGTAAGTTTCTTGTAATGTCATTACAGTTACTGAATTTATAGGAATTTTGCTACTTTCATTACATATTACAGTTTTAATGCTTCTAATGCAAGTAACTGTAAATTCTTGCAGTTACTTGCATTAGGTGTTAGAGTTTAGATTTAGTTCTAATCACCTTATAGTTACTCACTTCATAGGATTTTGTTACTTCTGTTACTCATGTCTCTAACAGAGCAATATAAATTGTGTGTTACACTTTTTAAGCATATGTTTCCTCTATGTAGATTATCCGTGGCTGTCTTCGTGTGTAATTTGTGTGTGATTGTGCAACCTGCAACAACTAACTGTGCAGCTTTGATTGTTAATGTGAGTGCCGGGAACTGTTAGAGAGCAATCTGTCGAAGCATCTAATCATGCTAATATGAAACTGATAGATAAAGACCCCCATGCTGTGATTAGCTATTTCTTTCCAAATAAAATACTGATAAGAACTACTGGGTGTTCCCTTTGCAGTTGGTACAGATGTGTTTGGGTTTTAGGGGCTCAGTTAGAAATAAAGTAACATGATCACAAGGACATAATAAATAATCTCATTATCGTTTAAGAGAAGTAATGAGTAATTTGTAATGGATTACTTGTTTTGAGTAACTAGCCCAACACTGGCTACAATGGACGGGTTTCTAATACAGTGGCCAGTGAGTGTACGTATGTGAGACAGGACAGTGCACCTATACATCAGTCCACAGATTGTATGGAATGTCCTCTTGAGGTATCAGGCAAACTATTCACTCTCTTGCTCCTCTGTTAAAGGAATAAATCAGTGAAAAATGCCATGCAATGCCAACAATGATTGAAAGCACATAACCCCCAACAAGAATTATGCCAGTTTCTTAATGCTAATTCGGTGGATACTCACTTCCAGTCATTGCTAGCCATGTTAGCATGTTTGATTGAGCTATTCCTTTAATTCAGTCAAAAATTAACAAAATTCTCTCACTCACCCACACTCATGCATACACACCAGACACACACAGGCCAGCTATCAGATTCAAACATACGTTTAAGTTAGCGCATGGTTTATAATTCATCTCTCATCTTGTCTCCCTTTGGCCGGACCAGCCTGCCAATGAAGAGGATGGAGTTGGTCTTCTTGTCTTTCACCAGGAAGATGAAGGGATGGTCAGCGTAAAAGAGTTTGGGGTTCTTCAGCTTGTCAGTGCCAAAGATGCTGGTGTCCGGAGGGTTGCCATCTGTGTCCCACTCGAGAGCGGAGGCATGGAACAGGTTGGACAGGTAGAGGTCCTTCTTTCCTGAGATGTTGGACAGGTCAGCCTTAGCCTTGTCCACAGCCTCAGTCAGTCCAAGCTGGCCGAGATGTTTCTAGAAAAGAGATGTTAAGCCTTGCCAGTAAGTTCAGTGGAAAAACAAGGATATGCTGTGTTATTGATGCAAAACATGGCTCTAAGGCTGGCTTTACATTGTGAAACTTTCTTGCAACTGTAGTTGTTTGAAACCCACATGAAACTATATTGCACTTGAGCTGCATTATGTAAAGTGTCCTGGAGCTCATTTTAAACTCAGCCACAACTGCTGCAAGAGTCTCAACTTCATAGAACAAGTTTTATGAAACAGCCAATAACAATAACAATAACGCATCGCAATAACAATAACAATAACAATAACGCATTGATTGAGTGGTTGAAAATGAGGCCTACCCCCAGTTGACTCATGATTGGAAGTTTTTCATATTGTCAGTTTCCTGAGCCATGACAACAGAAATGAGGCTTCTTCGGCAGCATTTATTCTTCTTTAGCCTGCTGTTACCACAATCTACATAGCTAGATTAATTTTCGCCTCTCTTGACACCCCCCTAATTTTACAACATACAACTAGTTGCATGACAGTTTCATTGTGTAAAGCCAGCCTTATGAAGCATCTGAAGCGATTTGGCACCCCCTTCTGGAGACTTTTTAGGTTCCTAAACCTGAGTGAGAGAGTGAGTAACAAGCTGGTTCTATGAGCTGTCTTTGAATTATTGTTCCAAAGTTTTTCAGTCAAATTTTAAAATATATAAAAATAAAAAAATATAATTAAAAATGTTGTCTCGAAACTTGATTACAGTAGAAGCTACTAGGCAAGTGCAGAACTTATTTTGAGTGTTTTGGTGTGAAATGCTATGTTCTAGAGAAACTTACCAGTCAGAATTGTTCACAGTGGTGGTGATAGGAACCAGATGTCTGAAATGTTTAATGGCACTAAAAGCTACCTTACATGAAAGTTATGACACAAAATGATTGTAAATATTCTGCCTGATATCTGAGAATCTCTTTTACTTAGATTTGCAATAAATTGTTGGCCTAAAATTTTAATGAATTCATGGTGGAGAGGTACATTCAGGGTGTTATAAGGCAAAATAGCCCCCAAAGAAAAGCACTATTTCAATATCATTAGCATCACGTATAAAAACTCAGAAGACACGTGTTGATTCACTGTGTTGTTTGAATAGTAAGTAAAATGGTAATATTTGCAGTAGCGACCCCTGGTTCCTATCATCACCACTGTAGAGAAATTTGAGTTAGTAAGTTTCTTTACAACAAATTATCTCACATCAAACCCCTCTGAATGGCAATCTCAACCACTGAATTCTACAGAAATTTTGAAAAATTGGTGGAATTCCCCTTTAGGATGTGGACATGTAATGAAACATGAGGTTTTGAGAATTTTATCTCAAATTTAATTTTTATTTTATTAACTTTTACATTATGTCACTCGTTCCAAAATGATTTAATGTTTTCTTACCTGGAGGTTGTGGCTGACCTCCATGCTGACCTTCGGTAAAGACACTGCAACAGCCTTCTGCTCCAGCTTGCTCAGCCAGGTGTCCACCTGCTTGCGAGTCAGCAGTTTCTCCACTCTCTCCAGAGGCTCGACATGGTAGGTCATGATGAACACCACAGACGACATCTTATGGGCCAGAGGCATCTCCAGTACGAAGAGGTTGTTGGCTTTGTCCTCATAAATACCATAAATACCTTCAGGAGACAAGTTCAGATAAATTATTATTTGTGGGACTCTAAAAGAACAACAAAGTGAAGGTCATCGCTGCTTCTTCATGCATGTTTTGTTTACCTGTGCGATGCATCATGGGTACTGACACTGTGTATGAGCGATGCACAAGGAAGCCACGGTTGTCGACCATCTTATGATGAAACTGCTCGTCCCAGTGCGCTGTTAAGAGAACATATAAGGGAATGTTTCAATGTGAAAAGGAGACAATGCTAACATACTGCTCAGCATAAAATAATATGTTCATTAAGAATAGAACTACAGCACAAGTTGATTAATAAATATCCACCTACTATACCACTTGAATTATACTATACCACTTGTACATAAATCAATGCACTACACCCATTTCCATGGTTATACAACACCAATGTTCATGGTTATGCTACACCTATTTCCATGGTTATGCTACATCCATTTCCATGGCTATGCTACATCCATTTCCATGGCTATGCTACATCCATTTCCATGGCTGTGCTACATCCATTTCCATGGCTATGCTACATCCATTTCCATGGCTGTGCTACATCCATTTCCATGGTTATGCTACATCCATTTCCATGGATATGCTACATCCATTTCCATGGCTATGCTACATCCATTTCCATGGCTGTGCTACATCCATTTCCATGGATATGCTACATCCATTTCCATGGTTATACAACACCAATGTTCATGGTTATGCTACACCTATTTCCATGGTTATGCTACATCCATTTCCATGGATATGCTACATCCATTTCCATGGCTATGCTACATCCATTTCCATGGCTGTGCTACATCCATTTCCATGGCTATGCTACATCCATTTCCATGGATATGTTACATCCATTTCCATGGTTATGCTACATCCATTTCCATGGTTATGCTACACCCATTTCCATGGTTATGCTACACTCATTTCCATGGTTATGCTACATCCATTTCCATGGTTATGCTACACTCATTTCCATGGTTATGCTACACCCATTTCCATGGTTATGCTACACCCATTTCCATGGTTATGCTACATCCATTTCCATGGTTATGCTACACTCATTTCCATGGTTATGCTACACCCATTTCCATGGTTATGCTACACTCATTTCCATAGTTATGCTAAACTATTTCCATGATTATCATAGACCCATTTCTATTGTTATGATACACCCGTTTCCCTTGCTATGTTACATCCATTTCCATGGGTACACTTTGGCCATTTGCATGGCTATTCTAAGCACATTTCCATGATTATATTACATCCATTTGCTTGGTTATGTTGCATTTCCATGGTTATGCTACATCCATTGCCATGCCACTGTTGGTACATCGACCCATTCCATAGATATGTTATGAGTACTGTCAGAAGACACAGCTCATTACTAGCTAAATGTTCTTATGGTGGAAATAAAAAAGCAAAAAAAAAAAAAATTTTCTGAAACCAAAACTATGCTCTTGTGTATAGCATCACTTTTGACTCATTCAGTACAAATAAACCCAGCTTACGTTTGTAGAACATCGCATTGATGATCATGGCTCCATCAGTCTTCTCCACGTCTTTGGTAATCTCAGGCAACTTGCCACTGGTGGACTTGGATGCCCACTCGTTGATGGCATTGACTGCGCTTCGCTTGTCCCTGAAGTTGATCTTGGCGTGCTCGTATTTGTAATGCTTCTTGCTGTTCTTCACAAAGTCGTCAGCAAAGTTGACGGAGCTGGGACCATACAGGCGGTTGCTGATCTTCCAGGTGACGTTGCGGGCCGTGGAGTTGCTGACCTCAGTCAGGATCTCAGCCAGGCTGGAGTGGAGGTGTTCATCCTTCACTTTATTGCCACCGAGCACTGTTTTCACCTGGGAGGCGGTGGTGGACTTTCCTCCAAGAGCTACCAGGCCCAGGGAGGAGGCCACCACCACTGGGGAGATCAAGATGTTCTCCATATCCTTCTCTTTGGCCATGCTGTGGTACAGATCAAAGGCCAGGTTGGTGCTGCTGTCCACCAAGATGTTGGCATGGCTGCTGAGGGTTTTATCTGCTCTAACGCTGGCTAGTAGGCACAGCGCCACCAGGCTTTTAACCCACATGGTTTTAGAGATGATTTCAGAGATTCTACCCTGGAAGGAACACAGCAGAAACACTGTTAACCCATTAAACTGCAAGTGCATCTGCAATTCCTCGCTCTTGTAAGTGCATAGCTTATGTACCAGCTTCATAGAACTTACTGAACTACTTGCATTCACTGATTAGTAAATCTTGATTAAACATGCTAATGTTGCTGAAAATGAATGGAAGCCAGCACAGTCATTTGTGAAATGCTTAATGGTGGCTGTTCATTTTTATTTATTGCTAGATTTTGGCTGAATGGGATCGATTGATAACCTGCCTGGAGTAGAAGAGGTTAAATCTACTGCGCACAGTCTTTTTTCAGATATGAACACTGAAGTTTGGAAGATATTTTTGTCCCACTACATCTTTTCTTTCCTGACCACTGAGGCTGAACTGAGGCTGGCTATACCCACAGTCATGTAATTACAGGCTTGCTAAGCTAATCTTGAGAGCCCATGAGCACATCAAGGGAGACAACTTATATAACTGCCACGTCAGCACCTATAACTTAAGACGAAGCTAAAACAGATGGACTACACTTTTTTTTACACACTTCTTTCATTTATATACGTGAGACTTATAGGCTTACATATTTGCAGATGCACATTTTCTACAAGATAACTGTGCATGCTAAGGATGCTATAAGCTAGCCTGTTGTCCAGAAACACCACTGTAGCTTTTGCAGATCACACTTTTCATGCATTTTTCTTTCTCCGTCTACTCTCTAATTAAAAGAGTAATAACCTTACGTGACTTTTACGTCGTTGGTTCAGAAAACTGAAGATGACAGTCTCTTTATACAGTACTCTACTATATTTGTCCACAGATAACTCATCCAGAGATTTCATTGGATAGATCATGGTTATGATGGTTGCATCTCAGGTCCAATCAGAACTGCCAGAGTGGCAGGAAATCCAGCCTTTAGTTCTGGAATTAGGCTGGTGGACATCCCACTCATACTTTGCACGAATAGAAAGAAAATAGAAGCATGCAAAAGACAGACACTCATAACGTGAGACAAGTACAAGCGTGCACAGAACAATCAAACAGTCAGCAGCACTGATTCCACTTTTGGAGTGTTCACTTGTGTCCTGATGAACTTATGAGGGTGCTGATTCAACAAAGTATGCATTAATGCAACAGTTTTTGCTGTGCGCATGAGCAGACAGGCTGTTGCTTGGGTGGGACCGTCCAGTCAAAGTGAATGCAGTCTTTTAGAGAGTTTTACAAAGTTTTGCAAGGAAATCTGTAAGGATGTTTCCCAAAGTTCAGTCTTCAAAACTGCAAATGAACTTGAGTTGCTGCAACTGAACATTAATATTCAGCTCTTAACATTCTCCACAAGTTCCTTCAAGCCTAAATATATATGCCCAAAATGCTGTTAACTTCTTTCAGGCGTGGTTTTGATGGTGCTACAAGTTTGAGACGGTGCTGTGCTTCATCTTTTGATCAGTTCAATTCGTTATTCTGCTTTCTAGCCTACATGCAGAACTGTTTTAAGCAGACTCTCGAAAGCTTTGCATTGTTGGCCTCTGCTACATGTTACAGAAAGTATAACCTTTGCTTACCTTCCAGATGTCTTTCAGCTTTCCACTGTGTCTCTGACGTGTCGGCCTTCACAGAGTCAAATCCGTCTGGTTGGCTTTATAACAGAGAAAGGAACCTTCTGGAAGCTGGGAAAGCTCTATTAAAATGAGGAACTCTGATTGCACTCTCAGAGCGGACAGAGACCTCCCCCTGTTCTCCAGTTACGACCGCCATAGTTGCTGCTGTGGAAAATGTGTTCACTCCTCCAGGTCCTAAAGCCATGAGAAACAGATACAGATCAGTCCTTTGGGTATAGAAGGGCCTTATATTACATACGTTCAAACTTTACTTGATGAGTTGGCTGAGCTGGACATGAATTTGGGTTTAGATGGTGATATCAATGGTGATTTACCATTGAAAAGCCTTTTTTAGTCCATGACCCTAAATGGCAATGCATCGAAGACATAACAACACAGTTCAAATGATGCACAGCCAGTCTGGCCCGGACGAAAGAAAAGCTTGTCAAATGAAGTTTATTGAACATTTTAGTGTGTTTCTCAGATTGGTATCACGGAAACGCCTGATTGATGTTCGAAGTGGATGCATTTCTACTGAATGCATGCTTCAAAAAAACAGGAATGCATGTAGGATATGTTCAGGATTAAAATCTCTCTCCTCCCTCTCTTCCCTCTTCTCACCCCTCCTTTCTTCCTCCACTGCCACGTCTGTAATGGGCCGTGCTAGAGCCTCTAGGCCGGTAGCGGGGGTTGCAGGGGATCCACCATGGGGGACGTGTTTAACTCTCTGTTCTGTCCCATCCTGCCTCTGCTGATTTAATCTCAAGACACCTTTTGCTGCTGAGATTTCCTGTAGGCTTTAGCCTTTTTTGGTCTGTCTGTATTCAGTACTCCTATGAAAATGCAATATACTGTATTATAGTTTATAAAATATCAATAGGACATACAGTCACACTTCAAAAAGATGGTTTTCCAAAGGTTCCTTACTACCATGAACACTCAAAGAACACTTTGCATGATTAAAGTGTTCTTTGCGTTGTGAAATGGTTCTTCAGATTGATGCACAATGTGTTATACGTGGTCTACCTTTTTGAAAATGGTTCTAAATAGCACCAAAAACTGTTCTGCTATTGTTACAAACTTGACATCGTAACAAAAGAAGAGCCCTTTTTGGTGCTACACAGAACCATTTTCAAAAAGGTTCTGTCTAGCACCATCTTCAGCACATTCTCCCACAATATGAAGAACGATTTCATGATGCAAAGAACCATTTAATCATGCAAATGGTTCTTTGAGTGTTCATGGTTCTATATAGAACCATTTTCTTTACAAAAGAACTCCTGAAGAACCATCATTTTAGGTATGTACTGTGCAAAAGTCATTTATCTAATTTTTCAGTGTCAGGAATAAAAGATAAAACATATTTAGCAGAAAATAACACAGAAGCCTCAACAACTAAATATAACACCAATTTTTTCAGTATTTACTGTGTCCAGCGTCCATCGTCCATTCTTTGTTTGTCAAAGAAATCTGCAGGGATGTTTTCCAAAGTTCAGTCTTAGAAGTTGGTTGCATTTTCTGCTTTTGTGGTCCAAATAATCCCAAACACATTCAGTGATGATGACGTTTGTCATCTAAAAAATGGATAACTTGCACTTGAGTGGAAATTAAACGCAGGATACGTAACTGTATCTTGTGGTGTATTTTCAAAATATTCATTTTTTGCTTGGAGATAGTCGTCTATAGATTATCTACATAAGCTTTATCATAGCTATTAACAAACTATTTGGTGAAATGAAGTTGATTCTCCACAGCTTTAGGATTGAGCTTAAGATTAGGACCAGTGTTAGGACCAGCACTAGTGTTAAGGTAACTTTTTGTGTTGAGGTTAAGCAAAGCTAAAGTTATGTATTATATTTAAGGGTTAGAAAAAGTCAAGGTGATGTTCAGTATTTAGTTCAGTGTAATATAAGACACTGAACTAAATACCTCCAAGCACCTCCAAAGCAATCCAAAAGGATTGTTACCTCTTTTACTACTGCATTAGCTTTATGCTTCTACTTTCCCAGATTTTGTCTGTGCTGTTAACTTTTCTCTATTCTGTTTGGTCTTTTGATTCTGCTTGCAAGATTTTCTCAATTCTTTAAACCGTTTTCAGTACTTTTTAGTGAAGCTTCAGCAGCAGAAAACAAGGAGTTGCTTTATTACTTCAGCTCAGGCCTTGCACGAACGTATTTTGGTAACAAAAAAGGTCAGTGTTCACAATAGACAGATCTGTGTCATCTCTGTTGAAACTGGATCACGTTACACACATTAAAAGGCCCAACCTTCCCTCCATCCCCCTCCCAGGGTCCACTCACAACATTTTGTGCTGTTTAACTTTTTTTTTATTTATTTATTTACCAAAAACAGATTTAGTTCATTTATATATGAGCATTCTCCAACCTCTCTTTATTCCTTAGATTTAAACAAGCTGTTTCGGTTAAGACTGGTATATGTAAATGAGCTCTGCTCTGATTGGCTGCCCTGTATTGTGTCTCATTCAAAAAGTAGTCCGGGCTGAAACACTCCTAATAACTTTAGCATGTTAGTGCGGAGCTGCTGAATAGGTGGATATGCGTTATTGTATGTAGGTGGATATATAGTGTTGTTTTTTGTGACATCACAAAGATAATGCATTCAAAACAAGCTGTTTTTGCAGCTGTTTGGGGATTGAACGGCATGTTTTGAAAGTTTAACAATGTTTACATACTACATCAAACTCTTTTATTTCCAAAAAAATTAGATTTACCATGGTATGGGCCCTTTAAGTCTTCGACCGAGCAAATCAAACGCCTCCATCTAAATCTTGTAAGACCTTTAATGTTTTCAGAAGCTGCCATGCTGGCAGCGCAGCACCTTCTGAAGTCAAGGTCTTTAAAAACGCAGCCTATGGCTACAACATTCCTCACCGCTCAGAGAAAAGGAATGCGGCTTGGTTCAGTTTTGTTGGCTTTGTGTGCAGCTGTGCTTTCCTGCTCATTGTATTTATTAAAGCACTGTGCACATGTACTCTACAGTTATCTAACTCACATTCACTGCTACTGATTAACCATGGAAAATAACAGGCAGACAGTGAAGGCACCACACACGCTTTTCTAATTGTGCAGGCGTTCATTCTCAGACCTGCCTGTCTGTTGGTGGGAAAAGTAAAGTTCAGGCCAAAATTGGGTTACTGGGTTAGACTCCATTTAATGATTCATTAAAGCTGAAGCCACATTCCTTTCCGTGTTATGAATAGATTAAAAGACTAAAAAGTAACACTTTACCAAAGACCTCATTCCTAAAACATGACAATGAAACATACAGATTCTGATTTCTTTACAGTGGTGCTGATAGGAACCAGGGGTCACAGTGTCTGCAACACAAATATAGCCATTTTATTTACTATCCAAAACCACAAGTGAACCTACCTGTGTTGTCTGAGGTTTTAGATGTAATGTTGATGATAGCAAAATAGTATTAAATCTGAAATTTCAGGGATATTTTGTTCCTTTCCACCATGAATGCATTGTTAAAAAATACATTTAAGACCAAAATCTTATCTCAAAACTATCACGAAACCAGGCATCTGGCAGCGTATTCGTTACCATTTAATGTAATAACTTTCTGTGAGGGAGCTTTTAGAGGTGGATGTCTGGTTCCTATCAATGCCACTGTGAACAATTCTCTCAGTAAGTTTCTCTGGAACAAAGCATTTCACATCAAACCACTCTGAATGACGTTGTTTGCATCTTAGCTATTTAATTATGCAGGAATTTTGGAAATTCCCCTTTAATGACAGCTAACATAAACGTACTTAATCATTTATAAAAAGTCTTATTTCTACAATCATCTGTTGCCTCCTTTTGTTAATTCTGATGTCATTTCACCTCCGAAAGCGTTATGATAACTGATGCCTGTTGGAATTTGCCTTTGTAAATGCTCACATACGTTTATGTCAATTGTCAACATAATCTGACTAAAAAGTATGCAGTATATACAATTTCTTTGTACATATGGTTGTACATATTTCCTTTAGATCAGTTATACAATTTTAACAAAATGACCCTTGAAAAACTGTAACATTGCGCATGAGGGTCAGTCTACAGTGGGGGAAGAAGAAGCTGTGTGAGTCCAGATGCTTGTTGATTAGGTCACATCCTCTGTCCTATATCCTCTCGCTCACTAACTTCCATAAATAAAACATAATGGGAGGAATTCCATAGAGAAAGATATGCTGGGAAAAAAGGACAGAGCATCTGTTTTTCATGTCATGTCCAGAAAGCATGGCAAATGTGTACACTGAGACTAACCAGTCTTACAAAGGGTGCTAACGGAATATAAATATATATATATATATATATATATATAATATTATATATATATATATATATATTATATATATATATGTCACATACATCACTTTTGCACAGTACTGTATTTTAATTCTTGAATTGTATGAGACTTTCAGATTTTGTTGTTACCCCAAGCATTTCAAATAAAAATGCTGAATTCAGTCTCTGGATGAAGCTCTGGCTGAAGTCAGACGCCGCCCTCAACTAACCTGCAGGTGAAACTTGCAGCAGCGTGTCCTGCTTTTGTTTGTTGTCACAGCTCACTTGCTGAGGAAGGCCTGCAGCTTTGGCTGTTCAAAAGATGCTGTCTTTTGCTTTGTCTCCAGTAGTAGACCAAATATATGCTGCTTTTTAGTTTGGTTGGTTGAAAAGTGCTCTAACCTTGTTGTTAAATCTGATAGCAGCACCTTTTTCACCCTAAAGTACCCTGGAGTACACCGATCCAGCACATCTCCTTCTCTGTCTTTGCTTTAAGATATGAGTAACAATCCACTCTTTCCACCAGTCTGAAAGTAAATGCATTATTTATTTATTTTATTTCACAACTTGGTTGCTTGATATATTTGAGAAATGCATGCTGGGTATTGTAGTGAACATTAATGGAAGAAAACGTGATAATGACATAAAGTTGTCAGTTCTGCCAAACCAATGAGTCTGAGCTTTTATACTACCTTATGTATACACACACCGATCAGGCATAACATTATGACCAACAATGAGTTTCTACACTCATTGTCCATTTTATCAGCTCCACTTACTATATAGGTGCACTTTGTAGTTCTACAGTTACAGACTGTAGTCCATCTGTTTCTCTGCATACTTTG